GAATCTATATGATTTGGACATGTTTTCAAAAAATTTTCCTCTATTAATATGTAACACAAAATATATAGTTTTTAGTGGATTTTTTTACTGACTCCTGATACATGGCATGTGAATTAAGCCATACTAAGTTTTTAGCTGGCTATTCAGTATCACATCTTTTTAAAATTTTTTAATTTATTTTTTATTTATTTTTAAAGATTTTATTTATTCATTTGAGACACAGATAAGAGAGAGAGAGAGAGAGAGAGAGAGAGAGAAAGCATGAGCAGGGCGAGAGGCAGAGGGAGAGGGAGAAGCAGCCTCCTTGCTGAGCCAGGAGCCCGATGCGGGGCTCGATCCCAGGACCCTGGGATCATGACCCAAGCCGAAGGCAGACGCTTAACCATCTGAGCCACCCAGGCTCCCCTCAGTATCACATCTTTTAATATAAGCTGTATCAAGTTGCTTTTTCAACCCACTATATTAATCCTTACTATAATTTTGAGGTTATGGGGACAAAACATGAGGAAAGCATATTTTGGGTGTTACATAAAAGTATTCAACAAGGGATGCCTGGGTGGTTCAGTCGGTTAAGCGTCTGCCTTCAGCAGGTCACAATCCCAGGGTCCTAGGATCAAGTCCCCATCAAGCTCCTTGCTCAGCAGTGAGTCTCCCTCTCCCTCTGCCTGTCACTCCCCCTGCTTGTGCTCTCTCTCTGACAAATAAATAAATAAAATCTTAAAAAATAGTATTCAGTAAATGATTCTGCTACTAGTGATTTAAAAAAATTACTGTTAATGTGTCAATGTAACTGGAATTTAAATTGTTAGAAAATATAGAAAATATGGTGTTTTGGCAAAAATTACACATTAACTAATAAAATTTACTTTCAAGTAAGGACCATTTGTGTTTGAAGTAGAGCTACAGGCTTCCCTAAACTGGGGTTTCATAGATTTTGGCTCTTGCCTGTTGTTGTGAAGGAAGCAGAATTGAAGAACTGAAGTTTTTCAAGAAGTGGAACAAAGAGAACAAATGGTGTATGGACTTTGCATTTTTTGCGAGGTCATGTAGATTTAAAAAGGAAACTTTTTTTTTTTAAAGATTTTATTTATTTATTTGACAGAGACACAGCGAGAGAGGGAACACAAGCAGGGGGAGTGGGAGAGGGAGAAGCAGGCTTCCCGCGGAGCAGGGAGCCCGATGCGGGGCTCGATCCCAGGACCTTGGGATCAGGACCTGAGCCGAAGGCAGTCGCTTAAGGACTGAGCCACCCAGGCGCCCTAAAAAGGAAACTTTTAACAAAGGATCCAAGGAGGTGAAGAGGATTACAAATGTTCTAGATGCATTGGATGTAACTTTTGCCAATCTGTGTTTTCTTAGTTTCTGTGACATTATTATTAATGGGTTCTGCTCCACAAGTAATACTAATCATCTTCACGTATTCTGAAGAACTTTGGTTAACTTCCCTGCCTTTCTACAGTCTGCAGGTGGAGTTTTCAATGTGGAGCAATTACTTTACTTGTTCCTAACAGATGCCTGTGGGGGCACTTGAGCAAGAAGAAGCCCAGGGCCAGGGTGACTGAGGTCTGAAACCAAAAAAGAGCAAGGGTTGATGCAACCAATATATGGATATTTGATCTTAAGAATTTATGCAACATTAAAAACATGTTATTCCAAAGTTATCATTTTTCCTACTTCTAGAAGTGGCCAAAACCCTTCGGTAAAAAAAGGTTCCCAGAGAAGGTGTGAGATCCTTACATCACTTTTCAATTCAATCCTTGTGCTCTCTTGACACCATCACACCGACAGCGCAGATTGGTGTGTGGAGAGAGAGTCCTGTCTGTGTGCAGGCTTCACTTCCCATAGACTTAACGCAGTAGGGATTTAGTTTGAGCTTAATACAAATTGATAATAGAATTGCTTTAATCAACACATGTGATTATTTTCAGGGCTTAGTAATATCTGAAATACTCTTTCTCCTTGGGGTAAGGACTTAAGGTTTTACAGGTGTGAGATATAAAGCTATATGAACTAAATTCTATGTGGGGCGCCTGGGTGGCTCAGTTGGTTAAGCATCTGCCTTCGGCTCAGGTCATGATCTCAGTTCTGGGATCAGTCTCCCTGCTCAGCGGGGAGCCTGCTTCTTTGTCTCCTCCCTGCTTGTGCTCTCTCTCATTATCTCTTTTGCTATCTCTATCTGTCTCTCTCTCAAATAAATAAATAAAATCTTTAAAAAAAAAACAACCCTAAATTGTATGCACTTAGCTTGTCCAAAGGAATAAAATAAGGATATGCAAGAAAAATTAATTTGTGTAGACCTCACCAAACTCTGTTCCAGGTGATGTTTAATTATGTCATGATGGAATCATCCTGTTAACCCTGAATACTAATCTTGCTTTTGGTAGAATTTAATCCAAGCCATGTAAACAAAATTGGTTTTTCTAAATTGTTTTCGCTAGGTGATTTGTGCTTATCTGGCAGGAGTTACAAAAAAGAATGATAAAAATGGTTTACCTGCCAGTCCATCGGCACTCAGTTGTATATCCCAGTGCTTCACACGTTTCTGTTTGCCAGCAGGACTGCCTCTGCAGCTTTTTAATAAAAATATGGTAGGGGATTGTTGGTCCCAAAGATGGACAAACACACAGGTGTACTGATACCTTCTTCTCAGAACATAGTGGCAAATAAGCACCTGCTCTGCACGTAGTGGCTTCCGTACAGAAAAGTCAGAACTACTCAGGGGACCTAAGACAATTCTCCAATGGCCTGCAACAGGACCAGCTTTTTCCCCCGCCATTAGAAGAGCTGTTGGCGAAATCTATTCAGTAATAAGAAGGAAGGAACTAGGGGAGCCTGGGTGACTCAGTCGGTTAAGCATCTGCTTTTGGCTCAGGTCATGATCTCAGGGTCCTGGAACCGAGCCCCACATGGGGCTCCCTATTAGCGGGGAGCCTGCTTCTTCCTCTCCCTCTGCCCACACTCCCCCTCCCCCTGCTCATGCTCTCTCTTGAGCGCAAGCGCTCTCTCTTAAATAAATAAATAAAATCTTAAAAAAAAAGACACTAATGATATGTGAATCATGGGTGAATCTTAAAATCATTCTGCTGAGTGAAAGAAGCCATACCAAAAAAAAAGTACATGCTGTATGATTGCATTGTTATAAAATTCTAGAAAATGCAAACTCCTTTGTAGGGACAGAAAGGAGATCTGCAGTTGCCTGGGGATGTGGGGGTGAGGAGAAGAGGTGGGGGCAACAGGCAGGTGGGTAGGGTTACAAAAGGGCACTTGGAAACTTTTGGGGTTGATGCATATGTTCATTATATTGATCGTGGTGACAGTTTCATGGATGTATACATGTTAAGTTTGTCACATTGTGCACAGTATTTATGTTCAGTGTAAAATTTGTCTGTTACAGCACATGTATAACAAGAGGGGGAAATACGGTATTACTGGTGTAACAGAACTCAGTTGTCACTTGCTATAGACAGCAGGTAAGTAGGAAAATAAGGCAACTAAAATGTTCTTAGAACAATGAAAGAAAAGCCTGCCTTGTCCTTTGTCATCTGGGGCATAGAGAAGGTCCCTATGTTTCATAATTCTGTTCTCATGTGCTTTTTTTTTTTTTAAGATTTTATTTATTTTTTGACAGAGAGAGAGACAGTGAGAGAGGGAACACAAGCAGGGGGAGTGGGAGAGGGAGAAGCAGGCTTCCCACTGAGCAGGGAGCTGGACGTGGGGCTCGATCCCAGGACTCTGGGATCATGACCTGAGCCGAAGGCAGATGCTTAACAACTGAGCCACCCAGGCACCTCCGTTCTCATGTGCTTTTTGATTCTTGAAATATCTTCTTTGATGGGCAGGAATTATATTTTAATTGTCAAGAGAGGGAGTTTTGGAGTCAGGCTGACCTGGGTTTGGCCTAGTCACCTGCTGGCTCTGAGCCTCTGAGCAGGACACTTGACCTATCTCTTCCTCTTTTACCGTACCTATGAAATGGGCTGACAGAGTCCTCAATAAATGGAAGTAATTTTTGTTATTATTATTTTTTTCATTTCACATTCTGATTCCCACAAGGTTTAAAATACAGATAGTCTTGGGTGAGAAAAGACAGTATTTTCAATTCGTAGGAGGTCATGTTCCCATGGAGAAGTGGAATCAGGAGCATTGCTTAAAGAAGAGAAAGATCATTACACAAAGTGAAGGGAGCCAGGGCAGGAGACCGTAGGTGATTCGTCAGCTCCCACTTTTCTGTGTTCCTCATGGTGGGTATCTAGCTACCATGTGACCTTCGCATCTGCTTTTTCTGCTGTTAGTAACGTTTGCTCTTTGCAGGCTTTAATTGTTTTTAACTCATTAGTCTTTTCCTTTGTTAATAATAATATTGTTTATGAGTGCCATGTTCAAGATCGCTTATTGAGAAATTCATTCTAGCATTTACTTGTTTGTTTAGATGTGTGAATATTTGTCATTCCTCTGTAGAAAAAAAAATTGACTTTCTAGATGTTTTGCTTACATTTAGCTGATCTTATTTAGTTTTTTATTTGTTCTTATAAACTTAATTAAAAATATATATTTATGGAAGTAAAAGTTGGGTAGTGTGTCCTATATTGGTCATATTGTTGATAAGTAAGTTTGCAGCATATGTAGTAAAACTCCTTTTTCTTTAACTCTGAAAAATTATCATTTTCACTTATAGAACTAATAGAATCACCTGCTTTCCCATGATCTTGACCTAATTTTTTCCTTCTGCCAGGTGTTTGCAGGGATTTGACAAGTGATTGATTTGGTTTTAGAGGGTCCTGGAGCTGCACAAAGTGTTTTTCATATTGAAAAAGACATGCCCAGTTTTTCACAAGTTTTAAGATTTATTGCCTCCCCCTAACGTGTTGCAAATGAGTTTGTTTGCTATTTATTTTACTCAGAATGTGGTAATTGTTGTCATTAGCGGAAGGGCAAGCTTGATCATAAGGAAGGATAGACTGCCTTTTAACACTGTCTGTTTTTATTTGGCATCTTTTCAGGACTGGACATTAGATGGGTAGACTGCTACTTTCCTTTTACTCATCCTTCCTTTGAGATGGAGATCAACTTCCATGGAGAATGGCTAGAAGTGCTTGGCTGCGGGGTGATGGAACAGCAACTGGTAAATTCAGGTAGAAAAGAATCCAACGTTTTATTTATAGGCTCTCTTAAAAAAGACTTTCTTCTCCTTTAACTTCGTTTGCATACTCATTTTCATATGCATTTACATACCCGTGTGGAGATTGCCTCACCATCTTTCTTTCCTCCTATTGCCCTCCAGATTTATCTCTGACACTTAACTCTGGAAGAACTTAGTTTCTCACATCTAATTTTATAAAGACTTCTTGTGTTTGAAGATCTTCCTTGTTAACATTTAAGTGTTGGACTTGTACTTCCTAATTTCAAATTTGTTGATATGTTGCTTTGCAATTGCCCATAGGCACTTGATGCATATCACCCGAGTGCAGTTTGCCTTCCAAACTATTTAAGAACAAGGCCAATGTATAATCCTTTTTTGTTCTTATTTCATTATAATAGTGCCCCAAATTCAAGATATTTCTGAAAATACAACAAAATACAATATAAAAATATTCAGACCTATAAAGTTGTGTTGTTTGCTGCCCTCGGTGTTGGCAGTGCCACCTGACTGAGGTTAAGTGGGAAAATGAGGCCTCTCATTAAATCCTACCTGTAGCTGCAGGTACTTGAGAAAGATCTTTACAGCTCTTCTCTGCAGGACCATTGCTTAATAAAAATGAGTATTTCTGAACTTAATTTCAGAATGTCTTTTTTTTTAAATCACTATCTGAATGTAATTAAAAAAATATTCTTTCAGAGTATAAATTCTCCCTGGGAAGGTGGTCAGGATTGGATATTTCAGCAGAAACTCACTGCGTAAAGGGAGGAGAGCTGATGTGGATTGCCCTGCGTCCCTCCCCACTTCCCATAGTAGGACATTTGCTCTCTGGCCTTGGAGGGCAGTGGCTCTGGTTCAGGGTTGGTCACAGGGCCTCGAGCAGCAGAATGGAGAAGAGCAGGCCCTCTGGGTGACTAAGAAATGTGGAGAGACTGCGGGTAAGGTCATGGGATTGGAGATTAAGGATGGAGTGAGACAGAAGAGATGAGGTGCAGGGAAGTGCAAGATTTGTGAGACCAGAGGCCTGGCTTTCCCTTCTTCCTCATAGGTAACCTCTGTCTGCAGGAGCCTGGACTCAGCTCACAGATTCCTCTCCATTCTGCCAAGGAAGCCTGGGGGAAAGCATAGCGCTTTCCAGATGCTTCTTGGATGGTTTTCACATATTTGAAGATCTGACCTAGAGAAGAGGGACAGAGAGGTCACATTATTAGGGACTGTGAAAAAAAGTTGTGAGGCTTGGGCCTGGGTATCTGTCTTAGGTTTTCTGTCAGTTGACAGCTGTGTGTCTTTGGGCAAGTGGCGTAACCCCTGTGAGTCTTTCTCATAGTTGAAATGGACGCAATGATACCTCCCTCAAAGTTCCATTATGAGGATTAATTGAGGTGATACATGTAACATGCCTATTAGCACAGGGTCTGGCACATAGTAAATCTGGACTAAAATTAATTGCTGATGTTTTTAATTTTTTTTCCCAATGGTTAGAACCATTTATCAACAGAGAGTCCTCTTAAAAAGAAAATATTTAAACAGAGGCTGTCCTGCCTATCACAGGAATGATTTCTAACTAACTGGAACTCGATTACCTCTTTGATCTTAGTCATCTTAGTATCTGTGATTCTGGTTTGAGTGATTTTAGAAGGAAAAAGAAAATTAAGAATGGTAAGAGACAACAAGACAATCAGCCTAATAGGCGTATATACATCCTAGTAGAAAACACAAAATATTGGAAGCAATCTTGTAAGATTTAATCTCTTCCTGAGTAGGAGCTAGTTCCAAATACTTCTGTGGTGTTTTTGTTTGTATTGTTTTGTTTCTTAGAAGAGTTCAAGGAATCCCAGGTGTCCCCCCAGGAGTGTGTGTTGTCAGGGGCCAGAATTGAGCAAGCTGGTCAGGATGATCAGCTTACATATCAGTTGTCACTGGGTATTGTGCTTCCTTGTATCTTTTCCAGTATCCTTGATGGGTTTTTATGGTGTTTATTCATACAGTAATTGGCCAAATACAGTTATCTGAAAAAGGTTTCCAAGTCATTATTGCTCATTAATGAGACTGCTGTTATACAGTTTGCCATGTCAAGTATTCTTGAAGGAAATGACAAAGTGAAAGAAAAAAAAAATTAAACAAAACCAAACTAGGGCATCTAAGATACAGATATGTTCGAGAGGTTCATACTCGTGATAGAATGTGCTTTAAGTTGGTGGGAAATTGTACAGATAAAATTTAAATTAAATATCTTGCAAGAGAGGGAGACAAGAAAAGGAGGAAGAGATGATTTTGTAAAAGAAATTGTGTGGGCTTAGCTATTTGAACTTGAAGTTATTGTGACAGAGTTCTGCTCTGTGTTCTCAGACTCGGATGTGTTTTGACATCTGGAGTTAAAAATTTTTTAAATGTGTGCCTGGCAATCACTAAGCACAGGCATTATTTGTAAGAACAGCTAATTTTCTGTTTTCTGAGTTCCTGTGGCCTTGAGAAAGGCAGACTGTGCACACCTCATCCCTCTAGTTCTGTTTTGTCATTCCTTCCATCTCTTCTCCGACATTTCCTTCCCTCCCATCTCCCCCTCCCCTCCCCTGCCTGGTAAAATGCAACTTCCAGGGGCCCCTGGGTGGTTCAGTGGGTTAAGCATCTAACTCTTGATCTCAGCTCAGGTCTTGATCTCAGGGTCTTGAGTTAAAGCCCCGCGTTGGGCTCCACGCTGGGCATGGAGCCTACTTAAAAAAAAAAAAAAATTTAGAACCTCCAGGAAACACTGAAATTGGTGGCTGTAGATCTCCTTCTTTAAAGGTCTCATAGAGGAGCAGATAAGTGCTGAGGTAACTGGAAACCAAAGAAGCCGTAATGGGACCATGATACTAGCTGCCACACTTGAGCCCTTCCTGTGGGCCATCACCTCATTGAAGGCTCTAGAAGCTTTCTTCCATTTAGCTTTGAGAACAAGGCTCTGAGGTAGATGCTGGTGTCATCCCCATTTACAGAGCCCGAGAAAGGTACCATGCTGTGCTATACCCAGATAGTAAATTGTGTGATTTTGAAGTGGCTAGAAACCCATTTCAATTAAATGATTGTGTCTAACACAGAATGAAGAAATGAAACCAAATGAAACAAACGACAGCAAACAGAGCTCTCTTTGTTCTGTTTTATTCGTTACGCCTATAGAAGGGCCCAGCCATCATGTGTGTTGTCACCTGTGATAGAAGGCATTTAATTTTTTTTAGAAAAGATTTTATTTATTTATTTGACAGAGAGAGACACAGCGAGAGACGGAACACAAGCAGGGGGTGTGGGAGAGGGAGAAGCAGGCTTCCCGCTGAGCAGGGAGCCTGATGCGGGGCTTGATCCCAGGACCTGGAGATCATGACCTGAGCCAAAGGCAGATGCTTAACGACTGAGCCACGTGGGTGCCCCAGAGGGCATTTAATTAAAAGAGTGAAATAAGATTGCTAATATGAGTAGTCAGCAAAAACATTTTATTACACATTTAAGTTGACTATGGCATTGATATAGTCTTTTTGTTTTTTTTTTCCTGGAATAAGATAAGGCTCTTCCACATGGCTTATAGAATTTTACTTTATTTCTTCTTCTTTAATTTATAGTGTCTTCACCCTTCCTTTCAGACTTCTTAGATTTAGTAATTGTGATGTGGGTGGTGACTGTTGTCAGGATGATTTGATTTTTTTTTCCTGGAGGAGATGTTTTGAGGGCAGGACTGAGTCACGTCCCCGAACACTACACTCTTATTTCCCGGTGGGCTGACTCAGGCTGCTAATGTCTTTTCAGGTAATATATGGAGCACAAACATCTCAAACCATCACCAGGGGTGACAGTAGGCCATGATCGTGCCAGAAAGGAATTTACCATTTATTGAGCCCCTGTGAAATTTAGAAGATTGCACATAGGCCAGGGGATAGAAAAAGCCCTGTAGTGGAAAATAACTTTTAAAAAAACGGAATCTCTTTCCTTACCTTTTGTGCAAATTTAAAAGTGGACTCTTTTGGGAAAAACCTTGTAAATATGTACATGAACAGTTTCCAGTTTTAACAGTCATTCTTTGTTGTTGTTGTTGATTTGTCTGTCACATTTTTCTTGAATTCTTTGTAAGGCTATAGAAAAGCGAAATAAGCCTTGTCTTTGCCTTTGGGAATAGCACAGTATACAAAGACATGCAGATAAGTGAGTACAATACCCGTGTGGTAAGTGTTTTTAGCAGAGGTACAGTGGGCAGAATGGGGAGGATGGAGAGATTGGAGAAGATTTTACCAAGGCCTTGTTCTGGTTACTACATTCAGGATGGAATGCTGGAAATACGGGTATTTGAAATGTATGTCCCGGATAAGTTAGGTTCCTCTTTGCAAGGAGTTGTATACTTTCTGCACTTTGCTTGGATGTCTGGGTGGCATACCTAATGCTATTTTTCCTATGTGAGTGAAAATCTATTTCCAGGCTGTTACTCTCATTGGTGGCTGATCTCTGCAGGCTCTACACACACTTGTGACATTCACTGTTATTAATATTAAGTTGGTGAACTTTGAGATGGCATCAACCAAGATCATCAACCAATACCAGGCATATTATTATATACAGGCCGACTTGCCATTCAGCTGCTGAGCATCTTTTATGTGTAAGGCACTGTGCTAGCCAAAGAGGAAGACCCCAAAACCATAAGATGTGACATTTCCCTATAAAATGTCGAGTGTAGTAGGGAAGATGAGACAATATAATTAGAGCATGGTGACGTAGGTGCCATTCGTGAGATGGGGTTCTGGGAGTTGTGTCATCAGTTCCATCAGTACAGGTGTCACAGAGGAGGTAGTATTTGAACTGGGCCTTAAGCAGTGGTTCTCAGTATATGCCTGGTAATCACCTAGAGAGTCTACTTAAAATGTCTGTTCGCATCAGGTTCTGTAGGTCTGGAATGGGGACTGAGATGTGCATTTTAAACAAATACCCTAGATAATTCTTGTGAATGATCAGACCTTGCTTTGAAAACCCTAT